ATAAATAAATAAATAAAATAAAATTAAATTAAATTAAATTAAATTAAATTAAATAAAAATTAAATTAAATTAAATTGAACCATTCCATGTTTTGTGTCATTTGAACATGTGATAATATGTGAATAATGTAAACAATATGAAAGAAATATGAAACGTGAATAATGTAAACAATATGAAAGAAATATGAAATATGTTAATAAAATCATAAAATAAATAAAAAAGATTTTATAATATGCATTTATAATATAAATGAAATAAAACATACTGTAGTTGAAACCATTCCATGTTTTGTGCCATTTGTACATGCAATAATAGGTGAATAATGTAAATAAAATGTGAAATATGAAATATGTGAAGTGAATAAATAAAATAAAACTGCATGTATAACATAAATCAACATAAAAAAACATGTTGTTGAAATCATTCCATAATTGTGTCATTTAAACGTGATAATATGTGAAAAATGTGAATAAAATATGTGAAATGTGAAAAATAAAATAAAATATGCATTGGTAAAAAAGAAACAAACATACTGCGTTTAAAATAATTCCATGTTTTGTGTCATTCAAACAATAAAAAAGTTAATAAAATACAAACATAATAAAATATAAAATAAAAGAATATGTAAAATGAAATTAAACATGTTGTTGAAACCATTCAATTGTTTTGTCATTTAAATGTGTGATAATATGTGAATAATATGAATGAAATATTAAATATGTGAATAAAAAAAGTTTAATTTAATTTAATTTAATTTAATTTAATTTAATTTAATTTAATTTAATTTAAATATTGTGGTTGAAGCCGTTCCATGTTTTGTGTCATTCAAATGTGAAATCTGCCAAGACATTGACAGAATCCTCCATAGTGAGGCGAGAATATCACGAAAGCTTAATTTTGTTGCTTTCCCTTCTGAGACTGTCCTGCTCGAACCCTTCTCAAGAGTGCTCTCCGAAACCGCTCTGAACGGTGGTCCAAAGCCCTGCTCTCCCCGTAGTGATTAATGGAATGGCTGCTTCATTGAATAAGTCAGAGCTGAAATACGGCTCACTTGTCCTTGTGCCTTCACATGACTTTCAGTGCAGTAAACAGCTGAGTGGGCCAAAACCTCCATCTCTTTATTCAGCGCTGCCTTCCAGGGCCCTGTTCTCTCTATTACTGGCTGCTTTAGCTGATAAACACTGTCTATAACTCAGTGATTCAAAGCTGATATGAGCACTGAGCTCTACTGTAAATCAGCCACAAGGCAAAAAAACCTGGATCCTACAGCTCATGGCCGTTAAAGAGTCTTGGGTAATATATTCACTGACATCATCGCACACTTACACACTCCCCCTCACGCATTCATAAATAAGCAGACACGCACCTGTGAACTTGTTGACTCCGGCCTGCTCAGCCACGTTTGAAAGTGCAATGATTCCCTTGGAAGGGTCACTTGAGCTGTCATCCATTTCAATCAGAGCATGTGGACCTACAGTTCCGCTGGCATAATTGGCAATGTAGATGGAATAACGGCCTGTTCCCTAAAAAAGAAAAAGAAAGATAAAAACATGTTGAGTGTATAGTGATAACTAATAACGTTTCATCTCATAAACAATTAAAAAAAACTTTTTTTTTTTAATTCTCACAATTCTAAATAAAGCAAACACCCAATATACTTATTTTTCTATGCTTCTATACTTCACACTTTTCACATTTATTTTGTAATTTTTTGGATTAAATTATTATAATGTTTTATGTTGTTGCAGAATGGTTAAGACTGAAATAAAATAAAATAAAATAAAATAAATATCTTTCCAAGGCTAATTTCATTTATACTACACAAAGTATTAAATAATATTTGCATACTTTTTGCATACGGCCTGTTCCCTAAAAAAGAAAAAGAAAGATAAAAACATGTTGAGTGTATAGTGATAACTAATAACGTTTCATCTCATAAACAATTAAAAAAAACTTTTTTTTTTTAATTCTCACAATTCTAAATAAAGCAAACACCCAATATACTTATTTTTCTATGCTTCTATACTTCACACTTTTCACATTTATTTTGTAATTTTTTGGATTAAATTATTACAATGTTTTATGTTGTTGCAGAATGGTTAAGACTGAAATAAAATAAAATAAAATAAAATAAATGTCTTTCCAAGGCTAATTTAATTTATACTACACAAAGTATTAAATAATATTTGCATACTTTTTGCATAAATTTACAGCTTGATTCACAAAATTACAGCTTGATTGACATTGAAATACAAAATGATTTTGTTCATAGGTGGCACTTTGTTTTATTGTGATTTACAAACATTACACACCACATATTTCGTCTCAAAAATGCTCTTCTTCACTGACACTGCTGTCTCCTTAGTAAACAAGTACACTAACTTTATTAGGGGCCATAAAGAATAAAACTCAATTAGAGGCAACATCGTTAGTTGCAGTGGCGTGTAATTTGTGGAAAATCTAATATACTGTAACTCATTTTCTCACAGTAAAGATTTGTAAAACATAGCAAAAAAAACATGTATGTGATCTTCATATAACATAAGAGAAATAAGTTGAGACACTCATCCACATACAGTTGCATACACACGCACACATACTCTCACACACCACACATATTTCAGCTGCCTCCCCTTGGATATTAATTTCACACCCCATTATCAGAAAGATTCCCTGTGGACATGAAGTCAGTGAAGTAGCCAAGCAAATGAACTTACGCACACAGTTTCAATAAAGACACCCACGATCCAACAGCATGGAAATTGTGAAATAAAGAAATATATACATAAGTATATAAATATCAGCAGCTCGTGACCAGAATCCTAATGAGGCACAACAATGAAAATGTCAAACGCTCTCTGGTTTCTACATAACTGCCACTTCAGGTCAGAAAATACAGATTAACGCATAATGGAGTTAAAACAGATGCTGCCCCAGAATGTATTAGCAGCTTAGGTTTTAATGTCATGATTTCCATGTTTTTCATGCTCTGTTTATCAATAAAGAATTAGATTTACAGAAATTTTGCCAGTAACAAGGGCCAGCAAAGTATGCGAAACTAATACTTTCAAAGCATATTTTTTACCAACTCTAGTTTCCTGCAAAAATGTTTTGGGTTGAAAATTATGTGTTGAAAGGTTGGTGTAAAATGTACAGACCTCCCACCCAATGAACATAAAAAAAATACATTAAAAAATTAAATAATAAAATAAAATAAAAAATAAATAATGTTTATTATTATTATTATTATTATTATTATTAAGCAAATATTACCACACAACATTATTAACAATATTTAGTTGTTAGTCAGTATTTAGTAATTTGTGCACAAATAAAATAAATAAATAAATAAACTGCACTTGGGAGGGAAAGCTGCAATAAGCACATGATGCAGGTAATCACTAACCCATGAAGATGGGTGAATGTGAGGATCAATCCATCTCTTACAGAAACAGGCCCATGTGTCTTCCTGTCCACTTTGAAGTGACAAATGACAATGCTTTGGTTCAAGGAGAGAAAAACTACACATTGCATTTGAATATTAATGTCTCTGAAGCTGAAGGGAATATACAATATACAGGGGACATTTTACAACTGTGGCAGCTGCTGTCACTCATTTTTAGACTTAAAAAGTCAATGTACACAGTTCCCAGAGAAAACCGTATATGTTTTAAGACTGTTTAACTGTATTATTTAATACAAATATTGTATTAAATCATTTATATAAAACAATTATTACTCATTGGGGAAACTCCATTATTTGAGGTTCCCATTAAAAGCGAATAAAAAGTTCACTAGTATTGTTGAGTTTGTTTCTTTATAGGAAGAGATTTTGATAAATTTAACATCACTTCCTCACCAATGGATCCTCTGCAGTGAATGGGTGCCATCAGAATGAGAGTCCAAACAGCTGATGAAAAAATCTAAATAATAGAAAAGTAATCCACACCATTCCAGTCCATCAGTTAACATCTTGTGAAGCAAAAATCTGTGCATTTGTGAGAAACAAATCCATAAGGCATTACAGTGTTAAACCATTGCTTCTGGACAAAATACAGGTCTATAATCCATGATAATGTTTTCTCCAGTGAAAAAGTCCTTCCCCTGTTGTCTTCTCACATCAAAATCCACCAAAATATTTGTTCAGAACTGTTTTGGATTGTTTTTGCTTGTAAACGGTGCTTGATCTGTGCGTATTTCTCTTCTGATTCAGACGTGATGACTTTTTCACTGGAGAAAGTGACATTTTGCATAGAGTTGTATATTAGCAGGGGGCAACGGTTTGAAATTATAAATGTCTTAAATACACAGGATTCATAGTGAGCAAGTGATGTCATGCTAAATTTCTTCAAATCTTTTCCAATGAGGCAATATACTCATCTACAACTTGCCCTGAGGGTGAGTAAATTTTTAGCAAATGTTCATTTTTGGGTGAACTATTCGATTAAAGAGCATGGCATCATTGGTAAATTATTAGTTACTTTTTTTAAATCACAATTATTTAGTGTTGCCTTGAACAAATCGGCAATGAAGATACAGTAATATAAATATAATACAATGAATGTAATTTTATTAGTGCTGTCAAACGATTAATCGCGATTAATCGCATCCAAAATAAAAGTTTTTGTTTGCATAATATATGTGTGTGTTCTGTGTATATTTATTATGTATATATAAATACACGCACATACAGTATATATTTAAAAAATATTTACATGTATTTACATCTCTATATTTACATTCATATAATTTATATTATAAATAAATATATTTAATATATAAACATAACATATTTTTCTGAAATATATACATGCATGTGTGTGTATTTATATATACATAATAAATATACACAGCACACTTACATATATTATGTAAACAAAAACTTTTATAGTGGATGCGATTAATCGCAATTAATCGTTTGACAGCACTAAATTATATGAATAAATATTTAACCCAGATTTCTGGATCTTAATGTTTCTGTGACCTTGTATGACTGTAGTTAGAAATAAATTAGGCAAACTCAACAATCTGCATCAGCAGTTCATTTCAACTTGTGAAAGTTTCTTTGTGGATCGACAAAGTATCTAATGGCAGGGCGATTTTTTTGGTTCCTAACTGAACTCTAAGAAGACCAAACACATTTTGTTTTGATTCTCTCCAAACCTATTATAAGCATGGTCCTAAATCATTTAAATCATAAAATCATTGATGAAGGACTTTTAAGCAGCACCGTCTCACTATCATCAGCCCAGTCAAATGACTGCGGGTGGAAAAAATCCATTTCAATCCCTTGCAGCTCTTCCCCAGGATTACTGAGCATCCTTCACCGCTGACTGCTCCACACAACAGCATGCAGTCTAGAAATAATTGCAGAAATATGCTGTTCAGCTTATTGTGTTTTAAGCTAAATACAAATCATTGACATGTTTGGCCATTCATCATGCCGTCTGGGATTATAGGTACCAGTGAAGCACGGTCAGACGGTGGAAACTCTGATAACCTACATGCAGTGAGACAAATGAAGGCGGCACTTCCCACCTATTACGTCTCCTTACAAAAAGAAACAAATGAGGCCTTGTGTTTTCTAATTATCACAGCACATGATTCAATGTCAGAGACAAATACTGCAGAACACTGGAAATGAACAATCATATTGGTTGGCTGAGGGGGGCAGGACTCAATGGTAATGGCGGACAGCAAATGATGGCCGCAGAGGATTTAGAGTCTGTCAGGCTGAAACAATCAGACAGTAGCGAGATGTGAACAGTCACTCAACACCCTCAAGAACTCACTTTCCCTCAGATTCTACATGCTGATGTTCTGCAATTCTGTTGATGATCAATACATACCTCAGGCTGCAACTTACTATTCACATTTATCTCTAACAGTCTTCCCAAATGCTTTGAGCAAGAAATTTACATGATTTTCAGTCATTCATTAATACTGGATGAGCATTTCTAAACATCATTTTATACAGACTGCACTCAAGAAGAGCAATTTCTAGTCTGTGCAATATTTTAGAGCTGAGAATAACCCGAAACATACTGCATGTTCTAAGAACGTTATGCTAAGATTCCCATTAAGTTACAAAAACACTATTTTTGAATGTTCTCTAAACATTCAAAATGTCCAGTTTTTTTCAATGTTTTAAAAACGTATTTTCTTGGTTATATGAATGTTAAGGGAATCATTTCATCATTTTGCAAACATTATGGGAACCTTACTTTTGAATGTGCTCTGAACCTTCTGAAACAAGTAGTAATATTGAAAAAGAACTAAACTAAAATGTTTTAAAAAGAAAACATTCCATGAATGATGTATAGGCCTAAACTTTTTTGTGCTAATGTTTTAAGAAGATTATTAAAGACCAGATAACTTTGAACGAATGTTCTATTAGCATTACTGGAAAAAAATGTTTGTTCATAACTTTAAAGGTGGGGTAAGTGATTTCTGGTAGCCAATGTTGATATTTCAAATCACCAAAACAAACACGCCCCTATTTTGATAGCTCCGCCCTAGATATATATACATATCTATGGTCTACACTGGATGCGGCGCGACACACAAATCTCCGACAGAAAACTGCTGCTGCGTTCTATTCATGACGTATTGACACAAATTTCAAATGATTTTCAACGGTCACTTTGTCGCGTCCAGCTGTTGCGGCGCGGCGCGAGACACTGTGTTACTCACCTATCGAGAAGAAACAAAGCAACCTGGCGTCCGATCGCAGGCCTTCCGCTCCTTGAGTTCTCTCCAGCACTGGAAAGCTGATCCGATATTTACACGGGTCCTGCTTCTTGCCTTAACGTAAGCCTTCTTTTGTTCCGCAGACGTTTTCCTCTTTTGTTTTTTTTCCCACCATCTCTATCGTTCTGTCGCTCGGCTCGGCTAATGTCCGTCCTGTGCACTAAGCGCTCTCTCCTCCGCATCATGAATAGACACGCCCCTTACTGCTGATTGGCTACAAGTTTGTTTTGGTACTCGGCCCAACTCATTTTTCTAAAGCGTTTTTGAAAAAATACATACCCCACCTTTAAGAGCCAAAGTTCTAAGAATGTTCCATGTTAGCTGAGAACGTTCACAACAGCTGTGGTTTCCCATCTAAAAATGAACCACAGGGACAATACTAAAAGCAAATGTAAATGAAAACATAAAATGCAGAGGTAGAAAAATAATTGAGCTTATCAGCTTTTAAAATGGAGACGAAAACACTTCCCATTTGATCCATACTTGGAAATGATTGACCTTGAAATAGATTTGTGTGAGGGAAACATGCAAATTATTAATTTTTCCACCTGGTTGGTTTTAGTGAGGAAAATGTTTCTGCCACTGAGCTTTCCCAAAAGCATTAATTTGAAGCAAACTTAGTAGAGGTGTTACCTTTCTGTCCACACATGCGACTGACCGGCCAGCCACGCGATTGGCAACGTCTCTATGTTCATTTATGTCATCGTTCAGGAGATCCTCAAACCGCCCATTACGAAACTTAAAGAGCTTGTCAGTGTACGTTGCTCTCCCTGCATGAAACGACATGAACAATTTACATGAAACTAACATCCATTTACTGTAGCATTTCCTTCAAAGCCTCATTTATGAATCCGTTTCATACCTGAGAAGGCGTTATTAGTGTTAAGGACGTAAATTTCCTCCCTGCCATCACCATCTATGTCACATGCTGTCACTCCGATGGCATTGCCCTGTCGATCTCTGAGTGCATAATATGGAGAACTGCGGTTGTCAACCGCAATGTTAACAAGCCTCTTCTTAAACTTGTCATACTTCAACACCAGATTTGGGCCATTGTAGCTAAGAAGAAAAAAGGTAGAGCTATATATCAAGTTACATATTTCAAACAAATCAAGAAAAAGGGCCACAGCTTAAAATCCTTAATTGATATACATTGTTCTGCAGTAAAACCTTTCATATAATTTTTTTTAAATATTTAATACTATAAATCAATTTTATATAAATAGGCCTATTTAATATTCAAATGTAATATTTACAACAGTATAATCTACTTTAACATCCCATATTAATATCCCAAAATATCCCATCTGCTTTTTTTAAGCATGGTTGTTGTTATATTTATGCTTAAAAAATGCTTAAAACAAGAAAAAACAAAGCCAGTGGGGTAGAATAAATCAATTTAATTCAAGATATATTCCCTGAAAACTCAACTCAAATAAAAACATGCCTTGAAGGATTGATGTATAACCATATTCCATTTATTTGTCTCCAGTTTCCAACAAGGCACATCTTTGTTGGTGTATTTCGCTGACCTGCAATCCCACAATTCCACCTCGACTGTCATTTAATGGAAGGAAAAACAGATTCTAGTTTCCCTAGAGATACGATTCTGTCAGTTGCACTTAATTTCATTCTTGAGCACAACTCAAACAAAACAATGAACTCTCCAATTACATCTATTTTCATCAACACAAATTCACAAAGATCCAAATCATTTCACAAATGGTTTACAAATAATCCCAATTAATTGCTTTGACATTTCTGTTTCTCTTAGAAAATATCACTTTTTCAAGCCACAAACTGAGGTAATGTTCTTGGCCAGTGTATCTGCTCTGTGTCAATATCGCAAAAATGTAAGCTCAATCAAACAGCACAAAAGCACCATATAACTTCTAGACACTGATAAAAGTATTTTCTCTAGAGAAACATAATGTCATTAATGCTTCACTTCATTATTCTGCTGAAAACAGTGCATGTGATCTGAAGACTAGTACACTCACCCTGTCACAAACATCTCCAGATCTCCGTCTCCATCCACGTCAGTGACAGCCACGCCGTAGTTGAGCTGCGTAGGGTTATTCTCATAGTCCGGCGGGAAAACATTCTGAGTTACTGAGGCAAACATGGGTTCAGTTCGCTGACCCCAGGACAGTCCCAGGACAGACACACCCACAGTGAGCAGTAATATCCAAGCTGACATTGTCACCTGTGAAATTCATCAAGTCTTTAAAGAAAAAAACACAAGACAAGATCATAGTCATGCTCACCTCCCGATCTGTGAAAAATGCTTTCAAGGAGATTATGACTCACTGAAGTGAGAGGAACTGTAAAACATCCTGAACTGAGCCATACAATCGAGATATTCCACTTTCATTGAGTTTTAGGAGACTGAATTGCTTTCTACAGGGTTAAGAGGCAATTACCTTCCCAGCATTACACTCACAGCACAGAGACATAAATACAGAGACTGCAGACATGTGACAGGTCAGAATGGACCAAATTAAGATCTGAGAGTAGAAGCCGTTTCACTGCACATGAGACAGACATTTAAGACGGCAAAATCCATATGTGACAAAGAGTATGAGGACATGATCTTTCTATCAATATATCTGTCTGTCCGTCAATATATCCATTTAAGTATCTGACTGTCTGTCTGTCTGTCTGTCTGTCTGTCTATCTATCTATCTATCTATCTATCTATCTATCTATCATTAAATCAAATTTGTTAAGAGAATGTAGAACTCACTTGCCCGTTTATGATATATCCATTCAGCCACCCATCCATCCATCTATCTGTCTATCTATCTACATGTGAACATAAGTAAATGCAGGCACAGCCATAGACAGCAATGCCTTAGTCCTAATTGTAACCCAAAAGTAAAAATTCTGCCTTAATTTACAAACCCACATATCTTTTTAGTGGAACACAAAAGTAGTTATTTACATTCTCAGAATGTTCTGGAAGGGTTATCTCAAACTTAAGAGCAAACATTCTTCCAGTTGTTATTAGAATGTTCATTCAAATGTTTGGGTCTTTTTAATAATATTCTCAAAAAGTTAGAACAAAAACATTCTACATCATTTATGGAATGCTTTTCTGTAAGATTTTAGATGGACATTCATCTAAGAGGTTTAGAGAACATTCAAAAGCAACATTCCTATAATGTTTGTTTGCACAATTTCATTTTTTAGAGAACATTCAGAAATAACGTTTCCATAACTTAATGGGAATATCCATACAATGAAAGTGGTAAAGGAGCAAGATTTTCAAGTTGATAAGCAGCTTAAATTTAAGTCTGTTCCTTACACAAAAATATCCCATGTCAGAGGAATATTTGTATGGGCTACTTTTATGGGGCTTTTGGGAGCTTGATCGTCTGGGTCCCCATTCATTTTCAATGTATGGAAGAGAACAGCTGGGACATTCTGCTAAAGATCTTCTTTGGTGTTCTACGTAGAAAGTCAGGTTTGAAATGACATGAGGGTGAGTAAATAATAACAATAATAAAAACAGAGAAGGTACTGGTAATTATCTGCCAGGACATTTTCAGTTAATTTACAGACATTTAATTTAACCCTAAAACACAACTAAATGCAACGCGTAATTCAAAATATGGGTAAAACACCTGTGAAAATTCAGCACGGATAATTCCTTTATATTAACACAATACATTGGGCCCTATTTTTACAAAGGCCCATTCACACCAGGGAAAATAACTATAATGATAACAATATAGTTTTATCGTTCTGAGTGTAAAAGAACAGCAGAGTCCAACCAGAACTATAACAATAATGGCACAGAGGAATGATATCATTGGAATCACTTTCAAAAAAATTTGTTCTAGCTGATGAACGATAAAACATCGACAGCCAATCAGTGTCTACATTTAAAGAGCTTGAGCATTTAAAGTGGCAGACAACAAAATTGCAGAGCTTATATTAAACAGAACATTACTATGCCTCGGTGTAGACACTAATATATATATATATATATATATATATAATTTTCTTTCTCAGTTTAGAATGTAGGGGAAAGCCAAAATCTGGATTCCAACAAAGCCATATGTGCAGTATGTTGCAAAGTAAGAAAGATGACATGCTGGTGAGAAACACAAAGTGGAGATAGATGAGTGTATGTGTTTGCAGCAACAATTTCAGGAATATGCATGTCTCTGCTCCACTAATCAACCCATTGAACTCTAACATCAAAGCCATGTAATTAATTTAGATTAAGGTTGTCTTAATATATGCTCCGCTGTTTGAGATGAAAGTGTAATCAAAGCACTCAAATAAGCATTGCATTAGTCATATACTGGACCAAAGGTTTGAGCACAGTGATAATTTGAGTGTTGTTGACAGAATGTACATAGCCAGACTGATTAAAGGCCTAAGCAGAGGTTGTCAGTTTGTTCTATCCTGTCCTATATTACTAGCATTACCCCTTTCGTATTAATAACTCAGTGCAAAACAGCCGGGGCAAAAACAGTAAAAGCAGAGTAAACATGTCATTTTATTGTAATTCATTTAGTGTTTATAGCTTTAACATTCCAAACGGCTGGATAAGGGCAGTGGAACACCAGTGCTCGGAGAGTACCGTATGTACTGTCATCTGTCATCGTAATATGATGATGTAAAAGCTTTTCGGATGAGGTGAGAGCTGGACGTGTTCCAAACTAAAAAGTCTTCACAGCTACAGGGTCATAAATCCAGACACAGACAGGCAGAGGAACCATAAGAAGAGGTGAATCTGTCCTTGCAGCAGCTAGAATTGATGCGATCAGCTTCATCTCACTGCAGCTATCATCATACAACACACTTACTGCAGTTACAACAGAGATGTTAGATGATATGCATTATGATCTCATATGAACATTTCTCCCTGTATGTTAAAACTATTAAATCAAAGTTTGTAATTTCATATACATAAACAATATCATATATATTTACAATGTTTAATACTAAACCGTAAACTCTCTTTGCCTGTGACCTTCACCTTGTAAGTAATATTTACTCTCATCTTGAGTGTGTACTCATGCATTTCTGGTCTCTGATCGGACTGCGACAAACACCAGCACAGCCAGTCCCTCAAGCATCTCTCATCTTATAACAAAACACTGCTTTAAAGTAAACTTAGAGAAAACATACAGCTTCTCATCTTTAAAAGTAAGAAAAAATCTGGGTCTAAATGAAGGTGATGGGGGTTTCCTGAATTGAATAAAGTTTCAAAATATGGTTAACGAAAAATAATGAAATAGATTTGAAAATAAACTAATATAAATAGTAATAATAGTACTCCACCTACTACTACTAATACGAATTGTTATTATTATTAATAATAATAATAGTGATGATAATGATGATATTGTTATTATTATTATTATCATCATCATTATTATTAAAGCACGCATGCAATTCATCCTTGAAACTATGCTGGAAACAAATGAAAAACATTCTTGTGATGTTTCGTATTTGTTTAAAAGTCTTAAAATCCGATGAGCAGAACAAGTGAAGCAAATAAAGAAAAATATGAAAGAGCAAATGGACCTGAAGCCGAGCATTCTCTTATGATCTCCCGACTAGTTATCAATACAGTTGTCTCGTCTCATCTGATCGGCTGAGAACATTTAATTAGATGCGCAGTGAAAGATCAGATCAAAGGAGCCGCTTTAACTTCAAAGACGCTGCGGCAAACATAAAAGCACCGTTACTTACATGAATGAAAGTCCAGCGCCTCTCATAAATGACTTCCCTCCTCATAGATTAAGAGATTCCCTGTGGACCTTGAGTATGTCTCTTAGTGATTTTACACAACTTCCCAAGAATTTGCTTTATGAAATCAGCTGTGTAAGAATCCATCCAATTACAAGCCCCTGCTGTGAATATTTAAAAGAGGCAGCCAATGCCTGCGTTGGAGGGCGGAGCTATGCGTGCTGAATGATGCTTACCTGAGGCTTCCTACTTAATAATTCATAAGCACGGGTTTAACGCACAGTACATTAACTTATTTTCATGAATTTAAATAATTTTAATATTCAAAATATTTTCAATTTGAATAACCAATAGCCTACACATAAAGAAAAAGAATAACTTAATCTGTTACTTTGATAAATAAGCTATCTTACATTATGTGCATTCAGCCATATTCTTTAAAACGAGCTCTTTTTAATTAAAGTAATGATTGCCACTCTGATCATATAACCATTTTATGAGAACATTTTATGGATCCATGCCATTTATAGTAAAGTGATGGCTCATCTACTGTCTTGGACATTGGCAGAAGTCCATCTTCCCAATCCTTTTTTTCCCACTGGTTTAACAAATGTTCATTAGCAACACCTCATACAGCAACACAGAAACCTCAGGCTAACATTTAAACTTACAATCTCACAAACAAGCTAGAAATACATCTTTAAATGAGGTCACATCAAAAGGAATCAAATGTTCCTTGATCTTTTGAGATAAAATGATTTTACTATGAAAACATACTGCACCCTAGATCTCAAAACTTCCTCCTTTTAGTCCAGAAAAGTTCATTATCGACAGCTGAAAAACTCTCACTCCGAAAACCCTGGATTTCTGATGTTAGAAACCTGAAATGTTAAGATATGACCACCACATTTACAGTATGTCAATCTTCTTCAAAGCAAAGGGGACTTGTTTCACACTGAAGGGGTGATATTCTGTGATAATCACTGGTTGAATGTACTTTGTCCCTCTTAGTGCCAAATAAATAATACATGAGCATGAAATATTGATTTGTGTTGAAATTATTTTACTAGTTTACTTATACAGACGATGGAGAGGATACAAGGACAGCTATATAAGAAACACTGGTTTCCTACAGTGCTGCCCTGGACAACTGTCATTTTTTCAGAAATATCTGACCACTAAATGCAGCGATTCACCAATCACAATCAAGTATTCCTGTGTAAAAAAAAATAACCCTAAACACCAGAAGAACCAGTGAAAAGTAAACAATGGAAAATTTATCAAACTTTGAGCTGCTCCAGGATGTGTATAGCACACGCTGCTCTAAATATCCTTCTGATAAATCCCAATGTTAGGAAAAAGAGGTTGAAGTTTGTTTTCAACAAGACCCACAATTATTTCACTCTAATCTTAACAGTTTGTGTGGCACATTTCACAATAACAGGCACATGTTGTTAGCATGCTAGACAAATGCAGCTGTTCTTACTAACACAACTGTAGAACATGCAAGAAAGGAAAAATCATTCTGTTGGCATTTGTCAAGTAACAGATTTTTACATTAAAGAACAAACAATTAATCAATCAAACACATACCTGGCTTTAGCTACACACAAGCTCCACTCACCACAAAAGTCTAAAGTAATAGAAATGGTTTACACAACATTAAACACTAACAAGTCTTGCCCTTTTTATTCTAGCTCAAAAACACCTAAACTGGCATTACGCATGATGGGAATTAATTTAACTTTACAGTTTCAGTCAGTACCAACAACATTATTTCTGTAATCTCAACACAAATGGTTTAAGTAAAATTCTATTTCAAATTCAGTGAGCTGTATATAAGTCAAATTCAATGAGCTAATTTTTATTTTATTTAGTTTTTATTTTCATTTCCCCCTTTTTTTAGTTAAAACTTTATTAGATCCAAGAGCAATTGCTTAATTTTTCTCAAGAGGATATAGTAGTCTTAACACTAAGTGTCAGAGAGAGAACATGGCTATGAAAAACTAAATTATGACTTTAAAATTACATTTTAACATTATATGTGGATGATATTTTATTTATCCGTATGAAAACAGCATTACTAAGCACAGAAAGGACTGCTAACACTAAATTATTCTCAGGTTTAGTATCTTGTTCTCTGAACAAAGCAAGACTTTTCAAATCATTAAACTTCAATTAAGGCTCCATATGTCCTGTCTTCCTTTGCATTTCATTCTTCATTTGTTGCACTTCAGCATATACATTTTGACCAGCACAGCATAATTTGACACTACAGGCACTGCATACATGTGGAGACCTATTCTATCTCCAAGAAGAACTTCTAAACCCCCACAAGAAGTGATCCACAATGGCTCAGCCATCCTTGAACGAAGCCAATTACTTTTCTGAAGACACCTGATGTGATCCCATCGCCATTGAAATTCAAAGTTAGCATGCCATCACCACTGCCTCACGTGCCCCATTTGACCTTGCTTTTGCGAAGCAAGCAGGGTTACTTTGTAGTGTCCTTTACTACTGTTCTAATTTCCATTGCTGGGTTTCTGCTTCATTATGATTTGCTCTCTGTAGATTTCCATAAATTTAGGATTTGAGAAGAGAAAAGCACCTGCTTGGATCTAGAATTTGGTTTAGCCTTTAACAAATCCATGCATCACCTTCCTCTGACAGCACAATACAATGCAGAATCTCATGGGCTTTCAGTGTACCAAACAGCTGATGGATGCCATCATGTGTCTCCTGCTCTCCCCAAATGCACCATCATCATTGGCTCCCACAACGCATGACATTACAGGCCTAATCTATACAGATCCTATTAAGAATCACTGACAAAATGAGTCCCGCTGGGCTGAAACCAGGAAATGTGACGAAGCACTTTGAGTTAATTAGTGCACTGTAAGCTGCAACTAAACTATCTGCTAAAATCAATTAATGTATTTGTTTTGATTGGATGAGATGCTGCTGATTTTCATATGGTGATTTTAGTGATTTATGTACATTGTGCTGTTCACAAGCTGTCTCATATAAACTGATCAATCAATCAATATAAGCCAAGTATATATAAATAAAAAGTATACTGAAAAAAAGTATATTGTAAACCGCGAAACTCAATAAAAAAATATATTTTTGAAATTGAAAACTTTTTTCTTTGCCATATGAACTCACAGACTTTCTATATATCTCCAAAAGACTTGAAATATAGCACAAGTCATATGAATATTTTTATGATACTTTTACGGTGCTTTTTGTCAGTAAAGGGTGGCCAGGATAGTCTTTAAAAAATTATCTTACACGATGTTACAAGGAAGACAGAAAGTCATATGGGTTTGCAGTGGCATAAGGATGTGTAAATGATGACAGGATTTTCATTTTATGGTGAACTATTCCTTTAAGTATTTGGCTCACATTGCTTGCCCTTTACTAAATGTAAACGCACTGATTAGATTCTTATTTTATAGTATTTCAGCAAGTAAAGCACTCTAAACTGGACCCTCATCTGATATGAGAAATGCCCTTTAATTGCCAAAGGGAAAAAAAACCCTCCAAAAATGGGATTAGACTTATTTTTAATACTCATTTCTGTCTATTGCACTAATATTTAATCTGCTTGTATGCCCATTTTTTCACTCTCTCTGTCTAAACACCATCATTCACTGTTTTAATTTAAAGTATGAATATGTGATTTATTTTCCGATGGCATGGAGCATAAATCTACTTTGCTGTGTGATAACAGAGGTGATGTCCCCTATATTGATCGGGAGCTTAATAGTGTTTGTTCTTTATAGCTGATCTCAGGAAATAAGGAGAATATACAGTTTTGAATGAGCTCTCTCATGGTATCCAGCAGAGGGATGGAGCTACACTGAAACAACACACACTTCCCCCGTGCATTATTTTAATATATGACAGCGCTGCAAAAGAATATTCTCAGAGAAGGGAACTTTAGTTCAAAGTAGCAAATGCTGAAGAGTATTTTTCATTAATAAAAGAAGACAAATAAAGAGACTCGAATCACTAAAGTTTCAGAATCTCAACAATGTCTCAACTGTGCTTAGATTTGCCAAAATATTAAAGTCTTCAGTCAAAATTCAGTAAAATTTATCAACAAATTCTTACAAAACCAAATGATATATATGTTTTTTTTTGCTATTCTCTGTACTCTTAATGTATCTCAACAAATTAAATGAAGACCATTTTTATTTTGATATATAAGAAATCAATTATGTTTTCTGTAGAAGCATCATGCCCATTCAAATTGATAAGAGGCATGTGCCAGTGGATTTTTAATGCAACTGTCCAAAAAAAAATATATATATATATATATATTTTTTTTTTTGAAAATTAAGTTATATGGATAAAAGTAACTGGTCTAAAATGTGGCAGAAAAAAAACTATTCACATGTCTAAATTTGGTCAGCTCAATCATGTTTTTCTTTCTTGTTTTTATACAGTACAATACAATTGCATTGTGATCTCTCGCTGTCAAGTTCAGTTGCAACGCTTCTGATTTATTTTTTTGAAAGGATTTGAACCAGTGTTGTTTTATATTAAAGTTTTTGTTAATATTTTGAATTAGATTTTTATTTTAGTCAAAATATTAGTAATTTTGTTTTGTTTGTGCATTTTTATTGTTTTTATTAAGTTTTAGTTTTTAGTTTTAGTTTATTTAGTTTTAGTCATTTTTAGTACTTCAACTAAACAACAATGATAAATGTTGCTCATGCAATTAGCTGAAATTTAATACATTTTAAATTTGATTTTATTTCAAGTTATTACAATATTTTTTCAGTTTTAGTTTTTGGTTTTACTTAACGACAAAAACCCTGTCTTCTTTTACCTTAAAGGTCCCTAAAAACAAGAACAGGTGCGTGTCGGTCCTGCTCTCCTGGAGCTGTAAAATATCAGCCTCTTCTGTGCGTTCCGTTAGTTATCTCTAAATCTGAAAAAATAGTCTATGACAAATACTTTATTTCAGAGGGATATCTGCTCCATTGAGCACTGTTTCTATCATGGTAGTGCTATACCATCATGCGCTTTGATAAATGGATGGAGAAAGTTTTCTGCCATT